GGCACCCTACTAGAAGGTCCAGAGGAGATGAAGAAATTGATGCTGAAAATGCAGCAGCAACAACAACAACATACAATTAACACCCAGAATACAAAAGTCAAACACACCCAAATGGTTCAACCGCAACGAAACCAGTATCAAACACCTGCAACAAAACCGAGCCAGCTGACATTAATTCAACAACAACATCAACAACAGCAACATCATCATCAACATTTTAACTCACCATCACCACAACAACAACATTTCCACCACAACCAACCACAACAACAACACACCACAAACTCGCCTCTTGATCTGCATCAGTTGCTGGTGGGGCTAGGCCTCAACAAGTACATCCCTATTTTTGACGAGCAAGATGTCGATTTGACGGTTTTCCTCTCTCTCACTGATAGCGATTTGAAAGAGATTGGAATTAAGTTTGTTGTTGTTGTTGTAGTAACTGTTGATGTGCTTTAAATTCATCATCATCATCGTCATCATCATCGTCTCCATCATCGTCATCATCATCATCGCCCAGCCTTCTAGGTCCTCGAAAGAAAATGTTGGTAGCCATCAATCGCTGGCACAGTAACCACAACAGCCACAACCACGCCTCTCTAACAACCTCACCAACGACGGCTGCCGTGCGCCCGATCATAGCAGCGACAGCAGCAGCGACAACTGCTGCCAACATCAACAACAACAATTCTCAAAACATCAACATCAACAACAACAACAACAACAATAATTCTCAAAACATCAACATCAACAACGACATTTCTCAAAACATCAACAACAACAATTCTCAAAACAACAACAACATCAGCCAACATTATGTTGATCTCAGAGAGAGAGAACTTCAGGCCATCATTCGTGACCTACACCAGGTTATCTGTGATTTCTTTTCACTTTTCAAGTTGAATAAACTTGTTTTATAAATATGAAAGTCAAAGTAATTGTCATAATAATAATAATTATTAATATTATTATTACTACTGCTGTAGTTATAATTATAATTGTAATTAATTATTAAAAACATGCTTGTTTTAAGCTTGTTTTAAAAATATGAAAGTTAAAGTAATTGTTATAATAATAATTATTAATATTATTATTACTATTGCTGTAGTTATAATTATAATTGTAATTAATTATTAAAAACATGCTTGTTTTAAGCTTGTTTTAAAAATATGAAAGTTAAAGTAATTGTTATAATAATAATTATTAATATTATTATTACTATTGCTGTAGTTATAATTATAATTTTAATTAATTTTTAAAAACATTCTTAAATATGTCCATACAGTCAATTAGCCAATCAAAGTTGAATTTAAATGCCTTAGATTTAATTTGCATAATTTATATGAGTACTATTTATGCTGCATAATTTATTCGAGCAGAAGAACCAATCATTGCTCCAGAATTTGAAGAGGGAGGAGCAACTGAGATTGACGGTTGAATCTTGCCTTATGAAGGATAGATGTCTATACCAAGTGTGTGTGTGTGTGTGTGTGTGTGTGTGTGTGTGTGTGTGTGTGAGAGAAAGAGTGTGTGTGTATGTATGTGTGTTTGTGTGTGTGTGAGAAAGAGTGTGTGTGTATGTATGTGTGTTTGTGTGTGTGCCTGTGTGTGTGTGTGTGTGTGTGAGAAAGTGTGTGTGTGTGTGTGTGTGTGTGTGTGTGTGTGTGTGTGTGTGTGTGTGTGTGTGTGTGTGTGTGTGTGTGTGTGTGAGAAAGAGTGTGTGTTGTTCATTTTCTGATTTGAAACAACATTTTTTCCTCTTCCCCCATCTGACATTCTTAGGAATCTTTGAACCTAATCGAGCAAAAGATCGAGACGTTTAAAATTGAAAAAGATTCTATATCTTCGAAATTAAAGTATGCTTCTTTCTGTAAAAAAAATGTAATAATAATAATAATAAATTAAATAATAATGATAATAATAATAATAATGGTAAGAATATTTTTGAATATTTTGAATATTTTATTTTCTCGAAAAAGAAAAATTCTATATCTTCGAAATTAAAATACATATGCTTCTTTCTTTAAAAAAAATGTTATAATAATAATTCAATCAATTAGCTTATAGTTTATAAAGCGCTATTTCCGCGATGTTCAACAGCACTCCTCAATGAATTTTGAAAACAGATGGGTCTTGAGATCCGCTCTGAACTTCGCAAGTGATGGAGAAGTAGTCAGAGAAGGAGGTAGAGAGTTCCAGAGAAAAGGGCCAGAAAAAGCAAAAGCAGATTTGGCAAAAGAGTGTTTAACACGAGTTAAGAAAAAGCGAGAAGAAGACGATCGTAAACCGGGGCGTTTAGGTTCAATTAATATATCTGATAAATACTTAGGAAATAATTTAGATTGAGACTTATACATGAACGTGCAAATTTTAAAAATTATTCTATATTTTATAGGTAGCCAGTGCAAGAGAACAAGATATGGAGATATATAAGAAAAGAAAGGGGCACGAGCAACTAGACGAGCAGCAGAGTTAAAAGCTTTACTTAAAGGATAGAGTATAGAGTCAGGAAGACCAGAGTAGAACGAGTTACAATAACCAATCCTAGATAAGACTAACGAAGTAACAAAAAGGAGAAGAGCAGGATCATCAAGAAAAGGCAAAAGTTTTTTTATTCTACGTAGATGAAAATAAGAGCTTCTAGCAACACTATTAATCTGAGAAGAGAGAGACATAGTAGAATCAAAGATAAAACCTAGACTACGAAACTTATGAGAGACATCCCGAGTTTTAGAATCAGGTAAGATAATAGGAGGAATAGTAATAGAGTGTTTAGATTTATTAAAACAAATTAATTCAAACTTAAAAAGATTAAGTTTAAGACACATAGAGTCAGACCAAGCGATAATTGAAGAAAGACATAGAGATAAATTATGAAGAACACTATTGAGAATAATAATATAAATAATAATATAAATTATAATAGTTATAATAATAATAATGGTAATAATAGTTATAATAATAATAATGAAACCCACAAAACAGGGCGTGGCCGTCCAGCGACGAAGAGCTCAAATTATGGAAAACTGATGACGTTTCGAAGTTGAGGGGCTGTTTCGAGAGTTTGCAGGCGTGCTTCGATCACCTGGCCAATGACGTCATCGTCATCCTGAATAATAAGAATAATATTATTTAATAATAATAATAATTAATTATAATAATTAATAATAATTTAGTAATAATAATTAATAATAACTAATTTTGGAAATCTTTTATCTTTTCAGTAGTAAAATAAACGTACAATGAAATGAAATGAAAATAAGATGAAATAAAAAGAGTAAAAATAATAATAATAACAATTAATAATAATAATAATTGTAACTATAATTGAGAGATTTTTCAACTTAGCATATTTTACTTTCAGAAAATTATTTTGAATGTTTAATACTTACTATAAAATATTTATACTGTATTTATAAGGCTTAGGTTATTGTATATTAATAGTATATATATATATATATATATATATATATATATATATATATTAATTGTTAGATTGTTATCTATTGATCATCTATGTTTAGAGATTTATTAGAGTTTGCGTATGTGTAGTGTGTGTGTGTGTGTGTCTTTATGTGTGTGTTGTTTCTGCATTTATTACAGTGTGTGTATGTTTTTGTTTGTTTTTGTGTGTGTGTGTGTGTTTCTGCATTTTCGAAAAAAAAGATAATTTCATATAGGTCAATTTATTTACCATTCGTATAAAAAAAAATTAAACTCATAATTAATTCATTAATTATGAGTTAATATAGATTTATTATTATTAATAATTCATCATAAGTAATTTCTCATCCCTATTAAAAAAACCTCTTAACCAGCCAACCAAGCAAATAACTAAATGAACAAACACAACAATAAGACGAATATCAATTAAAAGAACATACACACACATACATACACACATACATACACACATACATACACACATACATACACACAAACATACAAATATTTATACACAATTACATATACTTCCGCTAATGTTTATATTTTGCCTTCAAACAAACACCACCAAAGCCATTTTTATTATTATTATTATCATTATTATTATTATTAATTATTACGCATGCATAGTTCGTATATTGCAAGAAACATATAACCAAAAACCATAACAAGAGTAATAATAATGTTATTAATAATAATAAAATAACAATAATAATAATTATATACAACTCAAATCGGCAATTAGAAAACGAATTTTAATTAATTAAAATTATTAATAAAAATAAAATAGTAATAATTACATACAACCAAAATCGGTAATTCGAAAACAAATTTTAATTGAGTAATTAATTAATTAATTGATTATTTAAGGATGCCAAGAAGGAGAATTACTCAATAAAAAAAATGACGAAGCCCTAACTAAAAAATTTTCTCTCTCCCACAAGGTTTACACAATGTAGACTTTGATGACAGATCTTTTCACACATACACACACGTACACACATGCACGCAAACAAACACACACACGCACACAAACAATTGCAAATAACGGTAACAGATGACAAAGTATATGAAAGAGCGAGCAATTAACAAGGCTTAATTAAGCAGTCAGCATAGAAATAAAAGTGCCTGGTTGGATGGATGGTTGACTGGTTGAATGGAGGATTGGTTGGTTGACTATTTGACTGGTTGGTTGGTTGAATGGAGGATTGGTTGGTTGACTATTTGACTGGTTGGTTGGATGGTTGATTGGATGGATGGTTGGTTGATTGGATGGATGGTTGGTTGACTGGTTGGTTGGTTGATTGGATGGTTGGTTAGTTGGTTGGCCGGTTGACTTCATCAGTGGAAGAATCCAGATAAGAGCATATAGGTAGTAAATATATGAGTGAGGAATATTATCATTGAAGATTAAGATGATTCTTGTTGTTTAAGATGATGACGACGACTATGAGTATCGTTGTTTGAGATGATGGTGATGATGACGACGACGATGATGATTGTTGTTTAAGATGGTGATGATTGTTGTTTAAGATGGTGATGATTGTTGTTTAAGATGGTGATGATTGTTGTTTAAGATGGTGATGATTGTTGTTTAAGATGGTGATGATTGTTGTTTAAGATGGTGATGATTGTTGTTTAAGATGGTGATGATAATAAAAAGACGATAATGACGTCATGACGAAAATAATATTAATAGAATGCCGTGTCAGATTCCGATTTTTAAATAAATAAACAAAAGTAAATAATAAAATAACGATCAATATAAAATGGTTAAGCAGAGTTAATTGACTAATTAATTACCTAATTAGCCAATTAATTAATAAATAAATAAATCAATTAATCATTTAATTGAGCTTGAAGCAGTGTTCACACATTCAGAACTCTAGAGTCAGTATCTATGCTACTACTATATGTTCTATAATACTTATTGTTACTAATCAGCTTATTATTGTTATTATTATTATTCAATTTATTATTATTATTGTCATTATTATTATTGTTATTGTTAAACTTGTCATCAGCCACTTCTTTGCTAGTATAGCAGCTACTGCTACTACTACTACTACTACTACTACCACTACTACTACTGCTAGACTTATTATTATTATTATTGTTCAACTTACTATTGTTATTAATATTATTATTATCACTCTTATCCCCAAAGCTTCTATCGATGAAAATGTTGTTGAATTCATAGCTAACGCTATTTTCGTTACTATTATTATTATTATTATTTTTATTATTATAATTATAATCATTATTATTATTTTTATTATTATTATAATTATTATTATCATCCTTCTTAACATCATTTTTACTCTCATTATTATTATTAGTAGTAGTGTTGTTGTTGTTGTTGATTTTTAGATTGATGCCACTCAGGTTGTTGATTGAGGACTGGAACATGAGACTGCCATTGTTGGTTAAGCAGACCCTGTCGGCCTCGAGGTCAGAGGCCAGCAGCTCCAGCTCGGCCAGGCCCTTCGTCGACTTTTCGCATTTGGCCTTTATCAGCTGCCGATAAAAGTGGAACGCAAACGCGATTAGGATTAGGAAAGTGGGGACTATGATGGCCATGGAAGCTATGGGGGCTAGCTTGTTGACCGTGTAGAAACGCACCCAGGCTAAGATGGCCATTTGGGCTAGGAAAAGGAGGATGCCGATGCCTGTCGAGAATATCCAGGCTATCTCTATGTACCTGTGTGTGTGTGTGTGTGTGTCTGTGTGCGTGTGTGTGCATTGTTATAATAACCATTATCGCTATCATCATCATCATCATTACCATTGCAGGTGGATGTGTGGTGAGTCGAGAACAGCTGCATTTGAGTTCAAGTAGCCGACTGTCTCGATGTTGGGTAGGATGCAAGTGCTGATGATGATGGTGATGGTGGTGGTGGTGGTGATGATGATGGTGATGATGATGGTGGTGGTGATGATGATGGTGATGGTGGTGGTGATGATGATGGTGATGATGATGGTGGTGGTGATGATGATGGTGATGATGATGGTGGTGGTGATGATGATGGTGATGGTGATTATAACGATAGCAGTGATGATGATCAATCAATCAATCAATTGATGGTGGTGGTGATGATGATGGTGGTGATGATTGCAGTGATGATGGTGATAATGATGAAGGTGATGATGATGATGGTGGTGGTGATGATGATGATAACGATGGCAGTGGTGATAATGATGATGAGAACAGTGTTTCATGCACTGTCTGTTGTTGATACTTGTAAAAAACATTCAAACAATAATTATTACTGCTGTGATTGCCACTACTACTACTACTACTGCCGCCGCTAAAACTGCTACCACTACAACTACTACTGCTTTTACTGCTACCACTACAGCTACTACTACCACTGCTATTGTTATTACAACAACAACTACTACTACTACTACTAGAAGGTAAATTGGAAAAAAAAACTATCAATTGAACCTAATCATAAGAGCAAGCAGGTGGACAGCCACAACGAGAGTGGTGATAACACTAAACGTAACGATTAGTTCGGGTGGAGTGTTGTCCTCTGGCCTTGCCAGATCCTGCTTGAAATCAGTTTCCACCATTGCCACCTAAAATTAGGTTTTGGAGATATTGAATACCAATTTGGAATAACTTAACGTAAAAATGATTGAATGCGAGTAACCATGGCGAATCCGGATAAAAGTGCCGAAATACGACTTGTGGCTTTTAGTTTCGCCTTGCTGAGGTGGAACTGCCTCCACTGAAGCGAATACTGCTGGTTTTGTTGGTCGTGTAGTGAGGTTGGTTGTGGGCCCATGATCATTTTTGTTCTTTTGTTATACTTTTTTTGTTCTTCTATGCACTGTTGTGTTGAGTTATTGGTTTTTTGTTAACCAATTGATTGATTGATTGATTGACTGATTGATTGAGTAATTGATTGATTGGACCAAATTCAACAATTTATACCAAACTTCAACTCTAAAAGTACTTTTACTACTAACTATACATGTAAATATAAGTGTACAAGCATAACTATATACATACCATATATACATACATATAATTTAACTTACGTTTAAGCCCATTATTTATTTATATTTATATATACGTCCAATCAAATTTATTTATACATGTACTATAATAAATTTGGTTTAGTTTCAGTTATATGTATATATATAATATAGAATAAATTATGTGTATAAATAACTGTTTTGCATGTCATATATATATGACATATTATATGTTATGAGTTATTATAGTTAGTTAATCTGGTTAATCATAATTGAAATCATTATTAATTGATGCATTTTTTGGCTTCTCTTAGAGTTTAATAACAGTAATTTAAAAATTTGATAATTTGGTAATGCAGTTCTTAATTGTAATTTAATATAATGTAATTGTAATTGTAATGTAATATAATATAATGTAGTAATTTAAATTGTAATCATGTAATATAATGTAATTGTAATGTAATGTAATAAAATGTAATTGTAATGTTATGTAATATAATTGTAATATGTAATGATAACATCATCTCTTTCACTTTCTTTTTTCTTTCTCCTACTTTCTCTCTCCCTCTTTCCTTATTTTTATCTTTCTTTTTCTTTTTTAAATTAAAACTTCAAAAGACTTTTATAAATTTCAATTTAATTAAAATTAAAAGTTAAGTTAAAAATTAAAATCTGAAAAATTTATTTTTAATTTTAAAACAAAAAATTACAGATGTTGAAAGAAAAAATCAATCAGTTGAAGTACTGACAATTTCACTAATCACTTAAAAAATTACTGACTGCTTTTTTAACATTTTCTAAAAATCTTGATCAAAAACAGAAATTCTAATGCACAGTTAAAATAATTTAAAATCAACTGTAATAAAATTAGCATAAGTAAACATAGGTAATCTCGGAGACGGCAAAGTGGTTTTTCCAGCAATATTTATTTATAGTCAACAGTTTAAAGAGACTCATAAGTTCCTCCCACGGTACAACTAAAAGTTAAACTAAATAATAAAAGCTTATAATAAAAGTTTAAAATAAAAATTTTAAACCAATTTTTACTAGAAAAACCACAAAACCTCTATAAAGTTATAAAAATATAATACATTACAAAATGTGTAACAAAATTTTAAACGTATTTGTTTAAAAGATAGTTTCACTTTTAAAACAAATTATTAATTTTTAGAAACTTGCTTCCAGAGGTAACTTGCCGTTAAAAAAAATTTTCAATGTTAAAACGCTGGTAGGGCGCTTTCAGTTATATAATTCCATGATTTTTACTTCATAATCGGCGGATAGATCTATTTAGTTTTAGAAATTGAACTATAACATTATGTTGTATGAATTATTCTTTTCTTCGTTAAACGTTTTTCATTTATGTTTTTCAATTTTAAAGTCATTAACATTTAAAAATTAAAATTCTTCAAAAAACCGCTTATTTTTTTAAATTTTTACTTCATGACCGGCGGGTAGATCTATTTAGTTTTAGAAATTGAACTATAAGATTTCTCAACGGGTACAAAGCAAGGGGGGGCCTATTTACCAGCATACAACACCTTCTTATGGGTTGAAGCAGAGATATGCAAAGAACCTCAATTTTTTCAACTTTTAATTATTTTCAGTAATGTCTCCCTTTGCTCCAAACCACATAACTAAAGTAATAGGACTAATCGATCAATTCGATCTATCGGTCGGGCTATTTGTCGTGCTTGGATTGTTGGCTTACGAAATTGCATGGATTTTAACGAGCAAACTAAATGAAATATTTACTTGATTTAATATGCTTAAAACATTGTAGTAATTCTATTTAATTTTAATAATGATTAATAGAATTATGTATTATTAAATTATTTTTGTTAATTTGAATATAAAAATTGCTATTGCTTTTGGTCCGGTGAAATCCGGTGGCTTACTGAAGCCGAAGGTTGGCTTAGTGGGATTGAACTATAGTCACCCTTTTTTTTACACTATTCGATCATGTTAAAAATTGGTTTGCTAATAAACGGCCTAAATAAATCAAAATTGTTATTTGAACAACCATTTTCATTATATTCAATGAATATTTTACATTCTGCTGGTGCTCATAAGAAACTGGCTGCTGAAATCATACGTTGGCTTACAGCAGTGGCTTACAGGGTTTCATAGAACTCTTACGATAGCACTTTTTTGTACATATAATGTTTTAAACAAATCAATATATTCATATCACAATTATTTTTGTCAATATAAATATAGAAATTGCTTTTGTCAGGTGAAAAATAGTGGCTTACTGAAGCCGTAGGTTGGCTTAATCGGATTTTTTCTCATGTATACAATACTATGAGATAAATCAATCAAACAATCAGTCAGTCGGTCCGTCGGTCAGCCAGCCAGCCAGCCAGCCAGCCAGCCAGTCATATATGTATATATATATATATATATATATATATATATATATATATATATATATATAT